AAAAATGACAAAAATATCACCAAAATTAGAGAATTAAAGATATCATTACAAAATGAACAAATCTGAGAGAGGTCCACATGTAGTACCTATATATGTAATATCAAAGCAATTGCACTTGCGGTTTTCAACAAGAAGTCGAAAATATCACTTTTTACTAAAAATGACAAAAATATTCACCAAAATTAGAGAATTGAAGATATCATCATGAACTGAACAAATCTGAGAGAGGTCTACCCAAGGTACATATACACCAAGTATCAAAGCATTCAGGCTTGTAGTTTTCAAGAAGAAGTCGAAAAAGTAAAACATTGACACGGACGACGACGGACGACGACGACGACGGACAATCACTCATATGATAAGCTCCGCTCGACAAAGTCGACAGCGGAGCTAAAAAGCTAGACAGCTGACTATAAAGAAAGGCTCCCCTAACTTACAATATATTAAACTGACTATAAAGAAAGGTCCCCCTAACTTACAATGTATTAAACTGAATATAGAGAAAGGCTTCCCTAACTTTCAATGTATTGAACTGAATATGGGAAATGGGACCCCTAACTTACAATGTATCAAACTGAATATAGAGAAAGGTTCCCCTAACTTACAATGTATTGGGCTGAATATGGGAAATGGGTCCGCTAACTTACAATGTATTAAACTGAATACAGAGAAAGGCTTCCCTAACTTAAATGTATTGGACTGAAAATGGGAAATGGGTCTCCTAACTTACAATGTATTAGACTGAATATAGGCTTCCTAACTTACAAAGTATTGGACTGAATATGGGAAAGGGGTCCCCTCACTTACAATGTATTGGACTGAATATGGGAAAGGGGTCCCCTCACTTACAATGTATTGGACTGAATATGGGAAAGGGGTCCCCTAACTTACCATGCTTAGGACTGAGAATGGGGAACGGGTCCCCTAACTTCCAGAAAAAATATACAAATATCAACCATGCTGCAACTGTTAGTACCACAATCAGGCGGTTTTTTTGAACTGTGAATAAAAATATTATGACATATAATAATCAGCTTTTCTATTTTATTGGATGTTTGCCCAGTTTCAAGGAAGTTAGATGACCTGAATAACAATTTGCGATATTGCAGACTTCTATGAATTTTAACTTGTAAATATGATCAGCAACATTCTGTGACATAGTTCGGCCTCCGAGAATAGTGTGATTAATAAACCAAATGGTAATTTTGTAACACAGTTTATGCATAGAACAGGTATGAATGATGTCATGAGCGTTGGAAACAAGATAAACAACAATCACTTACCAAATCTGATATTACTAAGTGTAAAGTATGCAATGTAGAATGGCAATACAAATATTACTGTAAATAGCATAGCAAATATATCCAACTTCCAATGAAAATAGCGAGAACTGAAAGAAAAATTTAGTAACAGCTGAGATAATGAGATGACTCCCGAATCTGCCAGCAGAGTTAATGAGATGACTCCTGACTTTCCCTGCTGAGTTAGTGAGATGGTCCCTGACTGTCCCAGCTGAGTGTGTGAGATGGTCCCTGACTGTCCCAGCTGAGTGTGTGAGATGGTCCCTGACAGTCCCAGCTGAGTGTGTGAGATGGTCCCTGACTGTCCCAGCTGAGTGTGTGAGATGGTCCCTGACAGTCTCAGCTGAGTGTGCAAGATGTTCCCTGACTGTCCCAGCTGAGTGCGTGAGATGGTCCCTGACTGTCCCAGCTGAGTGTGTGAGATGGTCCCTGACTGTCCCAGCTGAGTGTGTGAGATGGTCCCTGACAGTCCCAGCTGAGTGTGTGAGATGGTCCCTGACAGTCCCAGCTGAGTGTGTGAGATGGTCCCTGACAGTTCCAGCTGAGTGTGTGAGATGGTTCCTGACAGTCCCAGCTGAGTGTGTGAGATGGTCCCTGACAGTCCCAGCTGAGTGTGTGAGATGGTCCCTGACTGTCCCAGCTGAGTGTGTGAGATGGTCCCTGACAGTCTCAGCTGAGTGTGCAAGATGTTCCCTGACTGTCCCAGCTGAGTGCGTGAGATGGTCCCAGACTGTCCCAGCTGAGTTAGTGAGATGGTCCCTGACTGTCCCAGCTGAGTTAGTGAGATGGTCCCTGACTGTCCCAGCTGAGTGTGTGAGGTGGTCCCTGACTGTCCCAGCTGAGTGTGTGAGGTGGTCCCTGACTGTCCCAGCTGAGTGTGTGAGATGGTCCCTGACTGTCGCAGATGAGTGTGTGAGATGGGCCCTGACTGACCCCGCTGAGATAGTGAGATGGGCCCTGACTGACCCCGCTGAGATAGTGAGATGGGCCCTGACTGACCCCGCTGAGATAGTGAGATGGTCCCTGACTGACCCCGCTGAGTGTGTAAGATGGTCCCTGACTGTCCCAGCTGAGTGTGTGAGATGGTTCCTGACAGTCCCAGCTGAGTGTGTGAGATGGTCCCTAACTGTCCCAGCTGAGTGTGTGAGATGGTCCCTGACAGTCTCAGTTGAGTGTGTGAGATGGTCCCTAACTGTCCCAGCTGAGTGTGTGAGATGGTCCCTGACAGTCTCAGCTGAGTGTGCGAGATGGTCCCTGACTGTCCCAGCTGAGTGCGTGAGATGGTCCCTGACTGTACCAGCTGAGTGCGTGAGATGGTCCCTGACTGTCCCAGCTGAGTTAGTGAGATGGTCCCTGACTGTCCCAGCTGAGTGTGTGAGATGGTCCCTGACAGTCTCAGTTGAGTGTGTGAGATGGTCCCTAACTGTCCCAGCTGAGTGTGTGAGATGGTCCCTGACAGTCTCAGCTGAGTGTGCGAGATGGTCCCTGACTGTCCCAGCTGAGTGCGTGAGATGGTCCCTGACTGTACCAGCTGAGTTAGTGAGGTGGTCCCTGACTGTCCCAGCTGAGTGTGTGAGATGGTCCCTAACTGTCCCAGCTGAGTGTGTGAGATGGTCCCTAACTGTCCCAGCTGAGTGTGTGAGATGGTCCCTGACAGTCTCAGTTGAGTGTGTGAGATGGTCCCTAACTGTCCCAGCTGAGTGTGTGAGATGGTCCCTGACAGTCTCAGCTGAGTGTGCGAGATGGTCCCTGACTGTCCCAGCTGAGTGCGTGAGATGGTCCCTGACTGTACCAGCTGAGTTAGTGAGGTGGTCCCTGACTGTCCCAGCTGAGTGTGTGAGATGGTCCCTAACTGTCCCAGCTGAGTGTGTGAGATGGTCCCTAACTGTCCCAGCTGAGTGTGTGAGATGGTCCCTGACAGTCTCAGTTGAGTGTGTGAGATGGTCCCTAACTGT